AAGCCCAGGATCCTTTTATTATGTGTGATTGTTTCTATTTTCAGAGTGATGCTTGGAAGTCTTTAAGTTAAGTTTAAATATAGCTTATTTTGATCTGTGCACAAACACACACACACACAAAGTATTCTGCCTGTACTCATCTGATATATGGAGACAACCAGGGACAGAATATCCACCATACACATTCAGAAAGGAGAATAAATGTTCTGTATTGATCTCATCAGGCAGAAATTATGAGAGCCCACTCCATAGGGGTGAAGATTATCCCTTCCTAAGAGGAGCCCCATGGTCCATTGCTTCCCATGGCCTTTGAACTGCTCTCTGAAGAAATTTCTTTGTTCCCCCCACCTCCCATTCTCTCACTTATCTGAACAGAACATTAGATAATATGTCCTCTTGGATGTTGAGCAGGTGGCTGTGTCAGCTTGTTTCAAGCCTGCCGAAGTAAAGGAGTGCAAGGATGATTTCAAGTCTCAAATAGTCACAAGTGTTTTTTAGACCAGATCAGCACTATCCACTAAAGTATAATGCAGGCCACTTATGCAATTCAAAAATATTTCATATTTTAAAAAGTTTAAAAAGGTAAATTGCTTTTAATAATCAACTTTAATCCAAATGTGCAAATGTGTAAAATGTTATATTTCCTAGTCAATATAAAATAATTATTGATGAGATATTTTACTTTCTCCTGTTTTTTAGTGAGTCTGTGTAGTCCGGGGTATATTTCACATGTACAGCACATCTTGATAATGATGCTAAACTTTCAGTGGCTAATGAAAGAAAACCACCCTTCCAAACAATAAACAGTGTTCAACAGAAAAAATATTTCACATGCTTCAGAATTTATATTTAATCAAAACAAAATTAAGAATTCATTTCTGCAATCGTACTAGCCACATTTTATTCTTAATAGCCCCGTGTGGCTAGTGTGGACCACATTGGAGACCACATGCCCAGGCTTTGGTTCCTTTGATTGTACGACATTCTCAAAACCTTTAGTTTTCTTATTTATTTGAGTTAACCTTTTGGAGGTGCTGATAGTCACACTCCCAGTCCACTTCTATAAACTTTGGGCCATTTTGTCCAGGGGAAAATGTTCTCAGGATGGTACCTAAATTCTTTCAGTTGTTTTCACAATGATTATGGCAGCTATAACATCCATTTGAATCTTGCAGCAAGGATGCATTCTAATCAGTCTTTACTGCTTTAAAGACATTCTTAGTTTTGTCTTTTACAAGTTGGTGATGAGAAACAGCTGTCTCTTTCAACCCTCTAGGTCTCTGAATTTCTGGATTCTTTCTATTCTATTTCCTTCTTCTTGCAATCATGCAAATATTTTCTGAGTTTATCTCTTTCTTACAGTAATTTTTCAACTGTAGCTAACACACACTACTAGCATTTTATTTATCAATCTTTTTTCTAGATCTGTTAAGTTCATAAAATATATTTTCTATCTTCTAGCAGTTGGGAATTTAAGCATTGTGTCACAGTATAATATGGATTGCCATCCTTCCCCTTTATCATGACAGTTTCCAACCACATGTAGCCAGCCCATTACCTAATACCACATATGTCAATTCAACTGTCTTCTTTGTAACAATTTCCATGTTACTCAGTGGCAGAATGAGCTAACTTACACTCATTACCAACACACTCCTATCTTAGTGGGTTAAAACAAAAGTTTATATTTCACTCATGCTGCTAGTCCCTCACAAGTCTGCTGAAGCATTCTGTTTTCCATAGCTATTTAGGAATCTAGGCTGGAACAGTAAACACTATCTCAAGCATTGCTTGTTGCCATGCCAGAGGGGAAAAAGCACTCTAGATGATCTCAAACAGGCATTTACACTCTCTAGCTGGGAGGAAACATAGATTACTTCTGCTCATAATGCTTTTGTCAAAACACAGGGGCCTTGCATGTAATCTTGACATGTCCCCAAGGAAGAGAGCCTGAAATACTTGGTGTTAACATTAATAACAATCATGAAAATTATGGCAACTGAATTTAGGAAAGAAAAGGAAACTATAAGACAGGTGCCTAGGACCTCAATTATTATGGGAAAATGATTAAGATAGCTATTAGTGGAATAGACTAGACTAGATGGAATGAGCTTCAAAAGCGTGATGATCTTTCACATAAGACTAGGGAAATAAAGGTTTGGAAGCAGCAGCAACTAGCAAAGACGGTGCTCCTTCCTCTCTTGCGAACACACGCCTGTTGTGGGAATTCCTGACGGCCTGGGTGAATGAGTCCTTTCCACTAAAAAGGGCTTAATGTAAGCAACATCTTTAGGGGATTTCTAGGACTCAATTAGGGAAGAGTATGGAGGAACTTCTCTGTTACAAGCTTTCTTAAGGAAGTTATTTGCAGTAGAAACGTAGTTTCAACATGCATATTGAAATGAGATTGGGTGGAGAACTTAAGCAGTAAAATAGAAGCTGTGGAAGGAAGCACTGTAGAAGGGCCATTGTATTTTGTTCAGTGTCTAAGAATAAGAAACACAGACGATATTAGTTGATTCCAGGGTTCCAAATTATAGCGGTGGAAAGAAAGTAAACAAGTTTTAATGCTCACAACAATAATAAAAATGTTTTTAACCATGGTTTTTGATGCCTTTGAGAAGATCAAACTGTAGGTCCCCAGTGTTAATCTGTTTTATTATTCTTGGGGTGGAGAGAACTTAAACTCTCCTTTTCTGGAAACCCACTAAAGACAAAAGTCTTTTTGACATTATCCATTTTTTAGGAATCATTTTCTGTCAAGTGAGAATCAAAATTCAATCACCTTACATGACAATTTAAAGGTAACCTCAATCAGGACGCATTCCTTGACTACCCCAGACTGAGAACCATGACTCTTTAGGCTTCCACAGCTGTATGTGGGCCCACATACCTTGCCTCTACTTCTCCTTGAGCTGCTGTTCTAGCTACTGTGAATACAGCAACCATTTTGGAACACAAGTCAGATCATGCCATGTCTTTACTCAAAACTCTATGCTGGCTTCTTCTTAGTGGCAGTGTATGTAATGCCAAAGGCCTTACAATTGTCCTCAAGTTTTTACATGAGCTCATCTCCTTTTGTTTCTCCCTCATATTCATTCTGCCCCCTTTACCTTGACCTCTATATTTTTCAGTACATTCATCAGACTCAGGCCTTAGGGATTTTGCTCCAGCTTTTTCCTTGTTCTGGAATATTCTCTCCTGAGATATCTGTGTGGTTAATGACCTCATACTTTTCAACTCTTTGCTGAAACCATCTCTTAGCAAATAAATCTTACCAATACAGTTTAAACTGCAAAGCTGACAACCCGGAACATCCTTACTCTGCCTTATTTTTTCCTATTGTGATTATCAATTTCTCACATGCAATATAATTATTTCATTTTATGATGTTAACATTTTATTGTCTGTTTTCCTTGCTATAAAATAAGCTCCACAAGAGCAGTTCTTTTCAAATTTTTTGTCTCTTTCCACTAACTGTAAGAATAGTAGGGACTTAATAATGATTTGTGGAATGAATGAATATTTTAACATATTTTCTGTCTTCCCTACTAGACTTGGTAGGGGAAACTATTTACCTTAGTTTCAGCTGGGGATGAACAATTAGATAAAGATCAGAGATAAATGAGTCCAAGAAGACTTGCAATGGTGTATAAAGTGTATGACATACTTGTCATTTTGCGTTTTTGAAAAGAGATTTTCATAAAGTATATTTTTAAAGTAATGTACAAATTACTAGCTTTGAGTAAAACTGGAAACCTAGGATATTTTTGTAAACCTAAAAGTACAATTTATGTTTTATTTAAGATAAAAAAGGAAGAGACAACAAAATTGGATTGCCCAATTTACCATCAGTTATCTACATATGCATGACAGGTTGTATTTGCCAAATTATCTGCACAAATATGTAATCTGAGCTTATTTGTTTTCCTTGGTTGATGTACCAGCTCAGAAAGAGTATAAAATAATCTGCAGTAGACTTATTTCCAGGAAATCCTAATGCAGATATTTAACTTAATCACATATATTATCTAAGAGTGAATATCTCCTTTCCTTTCCCTTCCTTCCTTCTTTCCTTTCTTCTTTTCTCCCTTCCTGTTTTCCTTATTTCTATCTTCCTTCCTTCCCCTTTGTTTCTTTCTTTCTCTATTTCTTAATCTCTTTCCATCCATACAAACATTGCCAATTGATTTTTGACAAAGCAGCAAAGTAATTCAAGAAAAAAAATATAGCATATCCAAGAAACTATCCTGAAACAGCTGGAATTTCACATGCAAAAAAATTAAACTCAGCCTCAAACCTTACATAAAATTAATTCAAATAAGGTCAGAATAGAAAACTATAACTAAGACTATATACTGTGTAACTGAGATGAGGTGACAATTTTTTTGATCCCTAATTTTTCCAAAAAAAAAAAAAAAAGAGAGATTCTGAAATGTTCAGAATTTTTCAGAACAGAGGATAGCATTTACTGTATAAGGGACCAGTTGCTTAGAAAGGGCTGACTGAACCAGCAAATTCATGTCAATTTGGAGACCTATGTGAATCTAAACCAAAAATTTGTCTCAAATCAAAAGAATTAATCAGCATTCCACATTAAACCAATCTTTTATTTATTTAGGTAGTATAAGAGGGTGCCCCAAATGTAATCATATCTATAATATTAAAGAATAATATAGTAAGCTTTCAAACTAAGGACCTTATGCATGTCATACATCAGAAGTGGCTGATGCCCATTGTTAGAGTCCCCAGTTGCCATCCAGAATATAATCAACAACTGTAATTGTAATAATACCCACCCCTAAAAGCCCCTAAAAAGCTTCCCTGTTAGATACAAAATCATTCACTTGTATCTAATCACTAAGGGAGAAGGAAACATCCAGTGTCTATTAGGTACCAATTCTGTGTCAGAAGGATTTATATTACCTAATGCAGTCTATATTACATTTTACTTAGTAAAATTTATTTTCTATTTTCAAAATGTGGAAACTGAGGTTGAGAGAGTTTATCTTAGAAAAATTCACATAGTTAGCATGTGTTGTAGCTTAAAATCTACACTGTATTTTTGCTCATATCTCAGAACTTTCCACTTACCTTGAAGACTCTGAAGAATATCTGGACAGCACGATGTCTCAGAAAGCCAATTTAGTCGAATTTATATAACCTAGCAAGGAACAGTAGTGGAGTGGGATAGTAGAACTTTCTGAAGGCCTAGGCATTATTATATAATGAATAAGCACTTTAGCACTTTTTAGCTAAATTATATTGATAAAGTTTAGGCATATCCTTTCTAATCTACATATAACATATATAAACATTCATACACATATTTATACACATATATATATGCATACATACACATACACACACATGTATACACACACATACACTTTTTTCCAAAATAGAACCCTTTTAAACACTAATTTCAAGCCAACTAGTTTATTCATTGGATGAATTTTAAGGAAAAGTTTGAGTAATTGTGAGTATTTAACACTAAAACTATCTTATTTAATTTTAGAGAGTATTCTATTTTTTAAATCTTGTTTCACCACATATTGCTGATGTCTCTCTCTTTTTCACAGTGAGAGACTATACTAGCTGCCAAGACAAAGAAGAAGAGAGATTACAGAAAGAGAAAGGAGTCTTTATAGTCTTACAAACAGCATTTATAAGCATTTATAATCCTGAGTTTTCACATTAGAATGGAATAATTGCCGAATGGGAATGGAAAGGAGTAATAAAATATGTCAAGTGATAACTCTAAGCTATTACATCTCCTTTTAAGAGTTTATATCGTCTGGTTGAGCTAGTTTAATTTTTTATGTAACTCTTCACAATGGAAGGCTAAATTAGCCTCTTTTTATAAACTCAAAGCTATTTAAGAAGGTTGTCTAAAATTGAGGCGCAGTAAGACACCTAATATCTCTAGGTCCACTATATAATTGAAATATTTTCATTTACTATGTTTTCATTTAGCTCTTTTCTTAACTAACAAGACTGACAAGGGAGATTCCAGAATAGACATGAATGATCGCATTCCTACAACAGTCATAATTGTATAAAAATAATAATATTTAGTGAGAACTATATACCAAGAACTATCACAATTGTATTAAATATATTATTTCATATTTATACCAACTTTATAAGCATTTACTATTTTAATCTAATTTATTTATAAGAAAATATTTAAAGATATAGAGATATAAATAAAATATATAAAGATTTTCTTTATTTATAAGAAAATTTAATCTACTTTATTTATAAGAGGATTGCATAGTTTCAATCATTACATGTGAGAACCTTAAATTCAAACCTAAGATCTGCTTGACTCCAGCAATACGTTCTTTGACTCTTCCATTCTTCAAATACAATCCACCTTACCTACAGACACTTTTCAACATAAGATTTTCAAAATTCTCTCCAAATGCCTATTTTTTATTTAGCCATGTTTTTCAAATGTGTTAAGTTTCTGATTTCACAGACACAGGCAATTTAAAGATTCACACAAACTCAACAAATAATTGTTATGTGTATGAATCTCTCCTCCTATCTCATCGTTTTAATGATATGGCAACTTCTGGCTATAAAGAAAGTAAAAGTATACTCCACATTCACATGGTAAATTATGGAGCCAAGTTTAGAACCTAAATTTTTTGCCTCAACTGGTTCTATTTCAGATAACTTTATTGATGAACATAAAAAGTATCACAAATACACATAAATATAATTTGAAGCAGTTTATTCAATATAGTTGAAAACAATAATTGTTAAAGCAAATAGGAATTGGGAAGAGATTGAATATCACTATTCAATTCAATATCTCTATTTTGACTTAGAAAAGTGCTTCATAGATTATGACATCAAGAAACACATAGAAAATTTCATTTCTGTGACTGAGTGAGCTAACCTGATTTAGACCACTTGTGGCCAGAGGAGAGAGTCTAGGGCCCCAGCAAAATGAGGCAACTAGCTACCCAATCTCCACTTGACTAGCCCAGCTGCTGTGAGGGTGAATATCTAAGCACAACTATACATAGGCTGATATACATTCGGCATGCTTTTGTATGACCACAGGATTTATTAAAATACTGAATACTGCTGTTCCCGTTGGTCATTAGCCAGTTCCCTAAATGCCCCCAGTTCCTCTTCCCGCCAAATCTCTTCATTGTCTCATCGTACAGCAACAAGAGTGTAATACTGTACAGGAGGATGCCTCCAGGACTCCATTTCCATACAGGTACTCCACCTGCGACCCAGAAGGGTGCTCTGATACACTAGGTAAAAAGTACAGTCTTAGAAAATTTAGTTGAATTGTTTAATGCTGGGGTTTTCCTAGGAATTTTTGATTATTTATTTATTTATATCTCTATTAGACACTAAGATAATGAAATGTTATTTGAAGTCATTAGCTAACCATTGTGCCTCTCTTAATAATACCATAATACAATTATATAATATGCATATAATTTTAATCTAGTATTATACTAATAGAATTAGTACATGTATAATAAATGATGATAAGTTGAATGTGTTGTTTGTTGTTTCAAACCACAGGCTGTAGAACTAATCAGATCTAGGTTCCAATATCACTTCTATATTCAACTAACTCTATGGAGACTGAAATCCTTCCAAGATTCCATTGCCTCATTTCTAAATAGAGATAATTTTACCCCATGCCCATTGTACCTAATAGATCCTGCACAAAGTGATATATTACTATTACCTAATATTTTTAATCTGAATGTAATCTTATCATGCATCTTCCTTTATTTTCATTTAATAAAAATCAACATTTATAATCACTCAATTAACATATATTTTTATGTTATATGTATTATATACTGTATTCCTACAATAAAGTAAGCTAGTGAAAAGAAAATGTTATTATGAAATCATGAATAAAAAATATATTTGCTACTCATTAAGTGGAAATGAATCATCATAAAAGTCTTCATCTTCATCATGTTCACATTGAATGGTCGGAAGAGAAGGAAGAGGAGAGGTTAGTCTTGCTATCTCAGGGGTGGAAGAGGCAGAAGAAAACCTGCATATAAGTGGATCCATGCATTTCAAACCTATGCTAATCAAAGGTCAACTGTAGTCTGCCTTTAACATTTTCCTTCCAATTTTTAACATATATTAGCACTTTATTTGTATTAAAAGTTATTCAAGTTCTAAAAAAATATGCCTAGTTTCATAAAGTTGAATGTCATGTTTTGCATGAATACTTAACCAAAATTAGATGTTTTACTTTGTTTTTTGTTTGAACACATAAATTTAACTATGAAAAACAATTTAAAAATTAAGTGAAGTGACATATGTCAGTTGTCTCAAGATTATTTTTCAAAAATTTACAGAATATGTACTGCTGGAATAATATTTAGAAAACGTACATATATTAAAAGAGAGAATATTGTATATTATGTGCCATCACATGAACTCCAATGAAAGGCAAATGTTTCACTTCTTTCTAATTATTGAACAATATGTATAATTTGTGGGAAGTTTTTTTTATTTGTTTATACACAGTTGTGATCATATATATATATATATAAAATTATATTCCATGTTTCCTTTAACATTTCTCTTTACATTAGTAACAATTACCTTAGTAATTTAAACTACTTCTACATAAGAATATTAACATGTTAGAAAGAAACATTTCTTTCTAGAAAATAGAAACATTCTATTATTAGCAAACAAAATTCAAACTTGTTTAAACCAACATACAGAAAATCACTAGCTTATGGCCCTTCATACATTGGCCTGAGCAATATTAAATCCATCTTTTGTTGTGCCAGCCTCATTCACAGGTTTTTTTCACTGACTGACTGCCTTTCACAGATAACTTATAACTAAATTATACACCTGCTTACCTAATACAAATGAATTATGAACTATTATCTAAAAATGAATTATGAACTTAATAGTAACTTATAAAGCTAAAAATCATTTAGGAAAAAAGTATAAAAGACAAACTGTAGGATCTAGTATTAGTAGGTAAAGCGATCTTAGACTTGACACAAAAACCATGATCTATAAAAGGAAACCTTAATAAATAGTGTTTTATGAAAATTAAAAAACATTTTTTCTCTATGAAAGACCTTGTCTGAAGGATTAAAATATAAGCTATATACTGGGAGAAAATATTTACAAATCATGTAGCCAGCAACAGTAAAAAAGAAAGAAGAAAAAGGAAAAAGAGGAAGGAGAAAAATGAAGAAAGAGAAAGAAAAATTTAAAAAAAAGGAAGGAAGGAGGGAAGGAAGGAAGGGCAAAGCAAAGAAGAGAAGGAAGGAAATTCAATTAGAATATGGACAAAAGAAATGAGCAAGCATTTCAATGAAGAGAATATACATATGGCAAATAAACACATGAAAATATACACTGATAGACAAATGAAATTAAAATTAATAGGAGATGCAAATCAAAACCACAATGAAATATCACTACATCTTTCAGAGCAGCTAAAATATAAAATAGTGACAACATTGTTAGATAGGAAACTAGGGGACAGAGCTGAGACTGGATGCAGGGGGTGGCAGATGGGTCCAGGGGTTAAAGTAAATGATGCTGAAGCAGAAGCTAATTAGTGGGGCTGGTAACCACAGACAAGAACTGGCTTCGACTGGTTTGTCAGCTATCTCTGTCACCTTACATGATTTTTGGCTAATTACAATATTATTTGCATTATAGTTTTAAAATATCTCTGCCCTTGAAATCACCATGACAGTTCAGAGACAATTATATAAAGTATGAAAATAGGAGAGAACTCAATTCTAGGAATTACTACCTAAATTCTTAGTAAAAGTCAACATTTTGGTCTTGAATATTCCTCCCCAAATTAGTAAAATTACAAAAGATCTAAAACCACGTTCTCTCAGGGGAGCTGCTCTCTTTCATGGAAGTGTACTTTCACTTTCAATAAAAGCTGTTGCTTGCTTGACTTCCATGATGCAGCCTAATATTCTTTTCCTGATGGTCACCAAGGACATGGATAAACCTCCACTCAGAGGCCAGTAACAACATAAAATGTTGGTAAGAATGTAGAGCGACTTGATTATTCACACATTGCTGGAAATGTAAAATGGTATTGATACTCTGAAAAATGATTTGACAGTTTCTTATGAAACTAAACATATAAAATAGCAATTGCACTCT